GTTCGAACCCTTTTCGTTCGTTTTCTTTTCGTTATAATACACGTCACATTCGATGAAAAAATCAACTACGATAATTGTAAATAATGCAATTTTAAGATTTTATTGAAGAAAAAAAAAAAATAAAAATAATTTTCTCAGTTTTTAGAATATTTGCTATTTTGTCATGGGTTTTTTATATACTAAATATTTACAATTCAAAGTCATTGTAACTGACTGTACTTTTTTACAAATATATACATAAATATATATTTATATATAATAAATCTTTTCTTTTATTTTATGTGTTTCTATTATTTCTACTAATATGCAGTTGTGACAGTCGTTGGTGTTGTTATTGTAGTTGTTGTTGTAAGTGCAACTTGCTCATGCAAAATTTATCTGCAAAAAGTGAATGCACTAATTTTGCCTTGCGATAGACGGTCGCAATCGTGTTCGCTGCAACTATCGTCGTTGTCAATGGTCATGTTCGTACATTAGACATATGAATATGTTTGTATATATATATTATACAAAGCTATAATTTTACTAATATTGCTATTTATTGCACTAAAATTTATTGTAAATTGCAACTTACGTACAATACAATAGAAAGAAGTTTGTCATTTAAGTTGCTCATACTCATATTTCAATAGTCGGCAGTCAGTCAGAATAATGTTATGATAAATACTATATTATAATTACACTACATCTTATATTCTAGTAGAATTTACTATTATAATTTGGGTATAAATATGCCTACATATGCAGTGCATTGTGCATTGCATTCTTATAAATATATGTGATATAAGCTAACATGTATAATTAAGATTCAAGGAGACTTGCAGTTCTGTACTCTAGTGTTCCTACTATATAGTATGTCTTGTTTTTATTAATTCTAAAAAATGCTTTTGTATTCCTATTCACGGTACATTTTAATTACATCGATAAGCTTATCTCTAACAATATTTTATATATTTTATGAGTAGTTTTTTTTTTTTTGTTTCGTTAAAATGTTATTTTATATTAAATTTAAAAATTATTTTAAGTCTTTTCACTGAGCTTTAATTTTAAATTGTTTTTCTATCTTTAGGCTTCGCTGTATGTCGAAAAATATGACATTTGACCATACCTAACAGCAAATCTATCTGTTTTTACTACTCCGCATTCCACTCATAAGCTTCATTCATGACTAAATATACTAAGAATAAAATTTTATTATATATATATAATATATTGCATTGAAACAGACAATTTGTTTCCTAATAAAATTACGGTTATCAATATAAGATCTTTAAGTTGTAGTTACGGTAATCTAGTACACGATCGTATACTAGTAAAATCTTATTCTCCGCCACTTTATTAGGGTTTACATTTTCTGAAGTTTTGAATATTATATTCCTGACAAAGTGTTTTTTTCAAGAATCGACATTTCAACAAGCTGCTGAATCAAGAATAATAAGAATCTGGATAATACAAATATGTAAATAACATAATTCCAGAATACTGATACTATTCTATAATTCCAGAACACTAATATATTGTTCTCTTGTTGATTATAATATAGTGTCATCTGAAAAATAAACTGATGAAATTATGGTATATTTTTAGATTATAAAAATATTTTTTAAATCTTGACTGATCTATAATAATTAAACGTTATAGCGGATTTAAGTATAACTTAAATTAATTTAATATACATAGGGGAGTGGCGTATATTACTAAATATTTGATTTCTAAACTAAAAAATTAATATATTAACTGATTTGTCTGGTTTAGAATACTTTTAATTTCTAAAACCATAAAGTCATAAATTAGTCATTTATTATTAGTCCAATCTTTCGACTTTCATTGACGGTCATTCTCAAGGAGTTCAGATAAATTAATAATTTAAAACTTAAATTATTGAAAATAAATAAAAATTATTATTGCTTTGTTACAAGAATTCTATTCCACATAGAAAAGGAATAATAGAGTTCAGATAAATTAATCATTTTAAATTTAAATTATTAAAGAAATTATTATTGTCCTATGATAAGAATTCTATTTTAAATGGAAAAGGAATAATAGAGAGTTCAGATAAATTATTAATCTTGAACTTTAATTAGTGGTGTTTTGGTTATATTGTAAGCGTATGATATTGAACTACAAGGATCCAGGAATTAAACCCTGTTATATTTAGTTAAAATTAGTTGAAACAAAAATAATGGTCTTAAAATCTTCAGACTTCGGTTTTATTCGCAAAAATTTTTACGTTTTAATTTTTAGTGGTTCCAATTTTAAAAATCAGTCTATTGTGAATGTTCACCATTAACTAATAAATGCAAATACATAAATAATTAAATTACTTAAATATTTAAGATAGAAATGGCTATCATTCTAATATTTATTTTGTGTTCTTCTATTTAAATTAAATAATTTTTAGTGGTTACAGTTTTTTTATTTCAAAAATTACAGCTAATATTTCTATTTAGTTTTTGGTTAATTATTTGACCATCACCTTTACAACGATTTAAATTAACCGAACTGTTGAAAAATAATTAATTGTAAGCTAAACTATTTCATTACTGTGCTTTAGCACAAATCAAAATATTAAATTAAATTATGTGTATTTAATTAAATTAAATAAATTATAATTTATTTATCATTCTAATATTTATTTTGTGTTCTTCTATTTAAATTAAATAATTTTTAGTGGTTACAGTTTTTATATTTCAAAAATTACAGCTAATATTTCTATTTAGTTTTTGGTTAATTATTTGACCATCACCTTTACAACGATTTAAATTAACCGAACTGTTGAAAAATAATTAATTGTAAGCTAAACTATTTCATTACTGTGCTTTAGCACAAATCAAAATATTAAATTAAATTATGTGTATTTAATTAAATTAAATAAATTATAATTATATATAATTTAATATTATATATAAATATATTTTATATTATATAATAATTATATTTTATATTATATAAAATTATATTTTATATTATATATAAATTATATTTTATATTATATATATAAATTATAATTTTTATTATATATATAAATTATAATTTATATTTCAAGTTAGTGAGTTTACGTTTGAAGAAGTTGAAAGCGCCAAATACTTGGGTGTCCTTATTAATAAAAACAATGAAATCAGTGTTAGTATACAAGACAGAATTGTAGCAGCAAACAGAAGTTATTACGGACACGCGAAAATCTTCAAATCTAAAATCGTGACCAGAAGTGCCAAACTACACGCTTACAAGGCAATCGTCCGCCCGGTATTATGCTATGGGGCCGAAACGTGGACTCTAACGACAGCAGATGAAAACCAAATTAGAACATTCGAAAGAAAGGTGTTGAGAAAGATTTATGGTCCCATCCGCCTGAATCAAGAAGAATTTCGTCGGCGTACGAATGCTGAACTACTACAACTTTGTGATGGTGAAGATGTGGTGAAGTTCGCAAAGTCGCAACGCTTGAGATGGTTAGGACACGTCATGAGAATGCCGGACGATAGACCACAAAAGCGAATACTCCATTTCACGCCGTATAATGACCGCAGCAGAGGTAGACCGCGTATAAGATGGCTCGACAACGTGACTGAAGACATCAGGAAAATGGGTATACAAAGCTGGAGATCTAAAACATCATGCAAAGCAGAATGGAGAAAGCTGGTTGATGCAGCTAAAGCTCACCCCGAGCTGTAACGCTGATGATGATGATGATTATATATATAAATTATAATTTATATTATATATATAAATTATAATTTATATTATATATATAAATTATAATTTATATTATATATATAAATTATATTTTATAAGTAAATAAGATATTTATTGTCAAAATGAAGTGTTTGACTTTCTTCAGTAGTTCTCACTTTGTTCTCACTGCAATATACACATTTCATCAAATCTGGTTCACTGTTGATATTGATTGGATTTGGTAACTCTGGTTATATTGTCTTTCTTCCAATATTACTGATGAAATTTCTTCAACGTCATATAAATTATCACCTATCCTCCGTCACTCCATTTATTATATGTACTTGTGTTGATGAAAGGCATCATGACGTGAAATACACTGCTGCTGCTGCTGCTGCAATGGTTCTAGTGTTAATAAATTTAAATTGACTTTAAGTAATATATTCTCTTTCGTTTAATTTTATTGTTGTTTATTTAAGCATACCAAGCGAATATATTTTTTAATATGTTGTTGTATATTTTTTTCTTTTTAAATTGAATAAATAAATATTTACGAAATTGCAATTCTTTTAGTTTTGTATTATTGAGTTTTGGTGCTTTTCTATCTATCTGGTCTGGTGCATGCGCTCTAAAACGTCGATTCCACATATCGAAATGTCAAATTTTTATCTGTGTTTTTTGTATTTTGTTTATATACATTAATTTTATTTTTTAGATTGTTTTTGGTATTTTTTTTTATTTACTTTTTTCACAATTTTGTCTTATACCATCTCTGCGTTTTATCGCAATAATTGCTTCGCTGTTTAAAAATTGTTTTATATACAAATAATTTTATACTGCATGTTCAGAAAAAATTACGTAACTTTTGGTTGTGTAGCCGGAGACTTCAACAATTTCGAAATTGTATCTACATGTGATTAAACAAAAAAATATTAACATAAATTGTTTATATAGCCAGTTGATTTGGGTTAGTAATGTTTAATAGTTTTTAGCGTTTATTAAGATTTAAAAGAAATAACTTCGGATGCCGAAGTAAAAATACTGGGAGGAAAACAATCTGAAAACAACACAAAGAATCGAAATCAATAATATTTTATGTATTTTGTTTTGCTAAAATTTGATATTACGATTTTCATATTCAATCTCTCCAGGAATCTACTTTCAAATTTTTTTCCAATTTCATTTATATAAAATATTTAAAACTTGAAAAATACATTTTTTAAATTACAAAAATATTTAAATTACTTTGACAGTTAATTCAATCAAAAATTATAATTATATATTACATTAATATCATAACTTAAAACTAATAATTATATATTTTTTTCTCTTTTACAGTTGTTTTATTTTTGGAAAGTAATTGAAAGTGAGAAAAGTATTGAAGTTGTGTTAAGAAGAAGTTGAGTCCACTTGCGGTCCATCAAAAACAAAAAACAAAAAAAAAAAAGAAAACAAATAAAGCGAAGGAAACAGGGAATAATAATACAAGAACTTACCATTATACATAATTACAATATTAGTAATGTTATTTAATGTGATGGCTTATAATGCTGTTAGTTATTGTTACGATACATCGGATTTTTCTTATAGATTAAGGCCCCACGATTTTGTGGGCCCGCCAGAACTTCTGTTACTAATAGTTAAGTAAAGCTGAATAACAAGTTCAAAGTAAAAGTAATAAATAAAAACCTTTAAAAAAAAATCTTTGCAAAAAAAAAAAAAATTAAAACTCATTTATAATTAAATTCGCTTTGAAGCAGCATTGTAGTCCTTATGTTGCAATCAGGCATAATCGTTGTTGAAAAACCTCCATCAATAGCAACTCAACAGCAAAAGCAAAAACCAAATCACGAAATTCAATATGTCGAATATTACGAGCCAACTGATCCGCCTCTTCAGCATCATCATGCAATCGTTCTGGATAATGTAAGTGTAACCCATACGCCTAATAAAAATCAGTTTAATATTAATAAGCCAACTATGTCGCAGAATTTTGCATTACCACACAATCAATCCACACAAAATAATCATCAACGAATAACTCAAATGTTACAATTAAGCGAACAACCTAATGCTGCTACAACATCTAATATTATAGTACCAACAGCGGATTTTGCATCAAATCAAATTTTCAAAATAGTGAGTACAGATGGTGCAGGTGGTATAGAGAGTCGGCAAATGTTTATAGATGCATCAACGAATTCTAAAATGTTGCTTGGTAATATAACGATGTTGCCAAAGCAAGTAGGAAATGCCACAAATGCAAATAATATCAGCGTATTGCCAACTCCACAAAATAATCAGCAACCGCAAACTATAAATTTTGTAGGTACGAAAAATATACCATACATTAGCGGAGGAAATACAGCTCAATTGAATGGTAAAAAATTTCCTACGAAAAATGCAAATGTCAAGAATCAAATACAAACGACAGGTACATTTGTCCAGCAAACACCGCAGCATGTGGTGCATAAGGTAAATGTGCCAACGAAAGTGATTTCACGTATGCCGACCATTGTACAACAAGCCACAAATAACACCAATCACAATATCACACAACAACCATCAACAAATCATCCGTATGTGGTATCACAGTCACACAAATATGTAACTGCTAGCAGCAGTAATATACCAAAGATTGGTAATATTATAAAGAAGAATGTAAATAAAAGTTGTCAGAATAAAATATCCGCTAATAATACACAGCAACAAGGCACTGTAAAAACGTTTATAGCTCAGCAAGCCTATCAATACCATCCAAATAACAATAATAAAATCACTAAAACTAAATTACTTAAACAATTAGGCAATACCACTGGTGGCGGAGTCTCAATTGCAACATTGCCACTGCAGCAGAGTTTTGGTACCTATACGATAAACTCAAATAAATTAAATAGCAGTAATCAAAATAATGCGACAACTAAAGTTACTAAAATGACTAACAACAAATTTATAATGCAAAATCAGCCGCAACATGTTGCTACATTACCTCAGGGTACACAACTACAACATAAAACTATGCAGGCTACACAGCCACAAAGTAATATTGTTGTACAACAGCAAATACTTCCAAATTCGATAGTTGGTGGCAATAGTAATTCAAGCGCTTCCAATAGTAACATTAAGTATGTTAATTCACAAGGTGCTGTTATACAACAACATCAAACACATCCTAGCTCACAGCATAGTCAAAAATATCGCCAACAGTTTCTGGAGACGCCTGTCTGTATACAACGTGAAAATAATACAGTGACGAATAATGCATCTTCTGCAATCAGTAACTATCAGACAGAACTCGATATGACCGATGAGATGTCTGCGCGCATTCTACAAAGTATGGCCCAAAAACATTTTAATAAGCAACAAGCACAACATCATCAGCAAAAACTCAAAGTATTGCCATCGCAGTCGCAACCCCATTATATAATACAGAACTCGCCGGGCAGTACAAATATTGTTTTGTCTCCTAACGATTTTTCTACTTATAATTCCCAACAACAAAATTCTTACATGCCTATCTCTGCGAAGACATTAATAACAAATGTTGCTAGCAATTCAGCGCCGTCAATTTCATTATCAAATGCAAACGCAGAAAAAAATCACAGTACCTCTGTCAATAGATCACAATCACTAGAACGGAAACAACTTGATACGAATTCTGCGAAAAGGGCAACTGAGTTCATCAAAAACAGGTAAGAAAGGAGAATTTTTTCTTATAATTATCACAATTTAAGTAGAGATGAGATAGTCTCAGTTATTGATGAGTTTTAATGAGAAAGTAACTTTAAATTAATCGACAATATAAACTAATTTTGATAAGAAATAATACACTTATTTTCTAGGGCAGTAGTACCCAAGCTTTTTTTTAACCAATGAGATCACTATGATATTTTTCTCTTTATAAGGGACCACAAAGTTTAAGAATCTGCATATTTTTCTTTGTGCTCAAAACTCCAGCTTCTGTTGCTTTGTCTGGATATCGCATCATTGTACAATATACTGAGAGCATGACTTTGTAACCATGATTTGGTTATGCGGGCATAACAGTGACAAAGCTCCAGTTTGAGCACAATAAATAAATATACAAGATTAATAAGATTATTTTAATATGCTTTAAGCATTATTGGTATAATATATAATGAATTGTATAAGTGCATAGGTACATTATATAGGCTCTAAAATAGGTATATAGTTACATGGAAATTTTTTGTGTTTTCTAATAAGTGAGGTCTCAGTGAACAAACTACAAGCTATGTATCTATATGTGTAAAATTTGATTCACGGAACATTGTTAACCAACTTGCGGACTATCAGTTGGCAACCAATGTTCCCAATGCATTTAACTCCAAACTGTGTATGCACTTTAAGGATCTACTCAATGTTTCATTTTAATTTCATCATGTGTGCCTACAAACAGTAACAGTAAATCTTCGAACACCAATCGTGTCCATTAGTTTTCACGAAGCTCTTTATACTCGAGCCAAAGATCCCAACTACAAGCATAATCAAATAATACTCAAAGCAGTAATATATTTCTTTATAAGTAAGAAACTTTCTTGCGGTCCCAGCGACTACCAGCAAAATCAAGAAAGCCCATAGCAGACAAGTTAAGTTTTTGCTGTTTTTGGTTATAGGTAGAAAGTAAATCATACATTATAGATGCTGAATTGAACTATTGATAATAATAAAAAACTTTAATAAAACTAGCCCACCTTGGTTAACATAATCTCCATTGCCGCTGATATCTGAGTAAATTGTTTTAATAAAAAATTGTTGGAGAAAAATTTAGA